CCCCCCCCCCATCAAGTCTCTTTAAAAAATTACTTTAAGATGCTAAATTACTTCATTTGGACTCACTGCTGACGCTTTCTTAGCACTATTGGTAGGGGTGGGCAAATGAAAGCTTTTTTGGGAAATTTAATTTCAGACAAGTGGATTCTTAGGCCATTTTGGTTGCTGAATACAAATCTAATAAGTATTTTTGTTTTTAATTACATCTGATATTGGTATCAAGCGATTTTCAAAAATGGCCACCAAACGCTCCCTCAAATCACATATTTCTCATGTAAATCTTTAAATATCAGTTCAAAGATGGCTTGTTATATGTCTAACCATATGATTTCATGATCAATGAGTGCAAATAGATACATCATTTTGGTTGGGTCATTTCATTTTGGGTTAAAAGGGGGGGGGTTGGTCATTTTAAGGTAAAAATCACCCCAAAATCACCATTTCTGTGTACATAAATACAAATGTTTGCAACTGTGGCTTTTAAATTAGGAAAAACAATAATACAACAAATATGGTCAATATTGTTCAAGGATAACATGAAACTGAAAAGTTTTGACATATAGAATAGGCATAATGTTAGTTACATACGGGAATATTTACAGTAAAATACTCAGTAGCAGAGCATTATGCCGTCACCCATAAGATGACATATGTAAATGTTAATTAATGTAATAACTGAACACTGAAAATTTATTTAGCACCAAAAAGAATGTATGTAAGGCAGTAAATAAGGAGTTTTGGGTGAACGGTGACAATATCCTTATTGTCTTCTTTTATAACCTAGTCAAACTGGAGGCGGAATGACCTAGAATGTAGTCGAAATGAAAATTTCTTGTTTATTCCTGGATATTTGAAGTATCTAAAAATTCTCAGCGCATTCTAAATGTTTGGGTCCATTCTTGCGTCCTGTTCAAATGTTTTGCTCATTCTCAAAACTTTTGAAGTGCATTCCAAGTGGAAAAATATCGAATGGCATTCAAGTGTATTCTAACTGCATTATGAGCACATACAACAGCATTCGAAACATTCTGATTGCATTCCAGGGAGAACCGAAATGGCAAGGCACTTCAGATCTTGTCAGAATGTTCCAAATTGTACCTCCAATGAGCATGAATGCAACTCGAATGCATCTTGATTGCAGGCCGTAATTCAGCCGGCAATGAGACCACACTTGTATGACATTCGAGGTGCATTCTAAATATTCTCACTATATTTAGACAGCATTAACGATATTCCTATTTGTGCAGTGACTTCAAATTTTGAGCGATTAAAGAATTGAGTAATCTGGTTTTTTTAAAACTATGTCTGACAATACTGGCCTTACGGACTTTTTGAAGAATTTGGGAACATGTTATTTCACATAGTTATATAACCACCTAAGACACACATAAAGGCCAAAAGGAATTGGCCCCAAATGTACAGGACTTTGTGCAGTGCACTGCCAAAGTGTGCAAAATGTACGTCCATAACGCCGGAACTGCCCATATACAAAACCATTTCATGAAATGATTACCTTGAAGTACAATGTATGCATTCCGCTTTTTGTAACCCTGAAGTAAAAACAATGCTGTTCACAATTGCATAGAAAGTATTCAGGTATGTAAAACACATAATTATATTTGCAACATGAATTAGAACTTTCCACTTGGAATATTTTAGGCTTTAGTTTTACGTAAATATTATACTACAGACTTGACATTTAATATGGAATATTTTTTCCAAGTCATTTTTCATCAGTTTTTTCCTATTTTGCTGATTGATAAATGAAAATAAGGATTAAAATCGTGTTTTAATAACTTTAAATTATCTCTTTGATGTCATGGTGACATCAGCTCATTGGTTGAATTCGACATTGAAGCAAACAGAAATGCATTGCCTATTCTATGTCATACGACATCCATTAAAAGAGATATTTTGGATCTCCATATTTTCCAAATTATCGTCTGTAAAAGAGTTACACGCTCCACAAAGGACTCTCATGTCAGTGTCTAGTCAAGTAACGCCTGGCCTCTTCTGTCTGTTACCAGCGCTCTCAAGCGGCAAGGCATTCCTTGAGATAGGTTTTTAGAGTTCAATTTGGTCCAGTTTTGATGTAGGGCATGTAGGCAATTGATTCGGCAAGTAATGACTTACCCACATATTGTCTATGCGGTTCAAATGTGGCGATTTTGATGACTAGGGTAGCTGCTAATTCCCTTGGTTCTGTAAGTTATCTGCTATTAAAAGTGCTCTGTGTGAACCGGCAATCTCACCGTGCAACCTAAAATTGTTCCTAAGGTGCCCCCTATCAAATGATAGTCAAGTGGTTCCCAGATTATTCCTTTATTTGATCTGGTTCAGGTTTTCGTCAATGACTACCATTGGTGTTTTGGCACCAATGTCGTATCCACACCAAATATTGACGCTGTCAATGACCCGTGTCACTTTAGACGCGGCACATGCTTCGTCGTAGACCTTTTCTGGATGTCTGTAAACTCTGTTTTGACTAGTTGGGCGGTACAGGTGAAATCTGACCTCAATAAAAAAGTCACATGGTTTCAGTGTTCTACCCAGGAACGGCCATGGCCCCCAATTCATTAGAGAAACAGACGGCGATGTTTTGCTGTTTACAGTGGGTACCTCGAAGGTCGTCTGGTATTCTAACCTGCTAAAACCAGTTTGAGGTTCGTTAAGGGCCTTGAAAAACGCATTTTGGTGGCAATTTACCCCTCGTTCTGAACGGACTGGGTGGCTTTTGTTTAGTTGCAGCAGCATATCCCGAAATACAGTGCGCCCTGTACCCTGGAGGTAAGATTTCGATGCATTGGGTGGGACATCTATGTAGGTACATCAGTCTGGACATTACTCTATAAAACTGTGCGGACCGTTCCGTTTGGCGCTATTATCTGTCTGGTAATGTCTATCTTTTTCGCGCCATTCTGCCACAAATTAACAAATTTGTAAAGCACTACTTAGCTCATTTTACGCACAGCAAAACTGACCGCTTGCATGCAAAATTTCAAATTCTTCTATGCAGTGGTTCCCGACATACGGATACTTTTTTGACAGAACCAAGCTTTGCCTAAGCCAAGCCCTGACCAGCCCAAAGTAACATTAACCAATTAAATCACCGAATATTACATAATGAAGTAGTGCAACAGACATGGAAGTCAGTCAATTGGTAGCGACACACCTGACTACACACTTTTCCATTCACAAATCTTATATGAGATCTTTGAAAAAGAGTTTTTTGAGGCATACCTTCGAAACTGAAATATTCCATATTAAATGTCAAGTCTGTATAAAGTTTCGGGTTTCAGTCTTCATGTGTGTATTTTCACGATTATAGCGATGTTTTATAAAAAAACGATCATGATTTTATTTCTCAATCTCAGATTCTTTTTATTTGTTAATTAAGTATATATTGATGCTTTTAAAAAACCGTGATGCCTACTCTTTTATACATATTACTGAAAGCACTCAAATCACTCAAAACCAATACCACAAATAAACTGACAAAAGATCCAAAGGAAAAAAGAAAACATACATTGATCCGAATGGGCGCCATGGCTGTGTACTTGAGGAACCCTTCAGCTCGCACTTCGTCTACGGCAAGGTCGCAGGCCTTGTCTGAAAATGATCATTTTATACCTCAAATTCGAATCACAAGGGCGCGTTTGTAGTAAAGTGATGCTAAGATTTTTTATCTTGGATCCTGGAGTGATGCAACACCGCTCATGTGACACGAGGGTATGTTAAAAACAATTGGATGTTAAAACGACTTCAGTAAGATTTTGCAAGGAGTAGATTAAACTCAAAGGTAACGTGCTATTGTAAGGGTGTAAATTAGGTAACTTGGTCATAGCCTATTGTTTTATTTACATACCTGCAATCTCCTGCGTTGACAAAGGATTTTTACCACTTCGTCGGATAACCTCTCTCTCCAAAGCTAGTCTTGTGAGAGCCTGAGAAATATTTCGGTATGTCATTAATTTTTGGAAAAAAGCGCCTTGTTTGCGCAATATTTACATCATTATAGGTTTTTCAGTTTTTTATTTAACCTCAAATTTCAGACATTTCAGTTAAGACTTTGTGTGTTCTTTGATCAAGGGTGTATCTAGTGACATGAAATGTATATAAATATTGCCCCGCATACCATATGCTCATTTTTAATCCGTTTTTCGTTGGAGAAGATTTTACCGACCGTCGACTTCGGGATCGCCCGCGAATTATAATGGACACTTTCCCTGACTTGTAGTGCTATATTTTCTGCAAAAGAAGGACTCAATAAATGTATAGAGGTAAAAAAGTTCGTTACGTGCAGGTTTTGAGAAGCATTTCATCATTGCGATAGATCCATCACTATAAACAGCTAAAAAGGAACTGTTTAATAATAAATAATAAATATCGATATGTTGCATCTAGTACCGGACAAATTAACAGACCAGAAGGTCACATTAGATGCTGTTGTCTTTTTGTTTTCTTTTCAGCATAACCATATAGATGCCAATAAGCGGTCTTGACGGCCGTTATGTATACGCGCCTAGCTATCGTAGAAAGACAACTAGACGAAATATGTTAAGTGGTAAACTTACTTTTTTCTCTCTCGTGTCGTTCATCATCTCTTTTCTTCTGTACCTTTGGAGACATCTGAATCTTCCTAAAGGAGTAAAAAAAGCAATGTTAATGTGACCAGCACATGACACACCTTATCTAATTTTATTCCAATATATACCATTTGGATATTTAAAAACACTTGGAAATGAATATGATTTCTTTTTGAAGAAAATAGACACTTATCCACAATATTGAGGATTTTAAGGAAGAACATATTTATAGCTTGGCCAGTGCATTACTTTGAATTTCCAAATCATCTCAGAAAAAAAATTCTTAAAGGGCAGTAAATAAAGGAGCAGGTTACACATAGAAAGAGTAGAGAAAAAGGAAAGGAGTTCAGAAATTTATAATTAACCAGAAGGTATAGAGCACAACTGCCGTCAAGACCAGGAAACTCCCCCCTCCACAAATACACGTCCACAGGATCCTCTCATGTGTCCATACAAAATCAGGCGTGGTTGCAGTAGAAAACACTGGAAATAGCAGATAATGTATAATATTATTTTTGAAATAGCAGAAAATAAATAAGATTCAGATTAAAACCACCAAGGATTGGGTTAGTGTTTATAAACGATAATCTTTTACTTGTAGTGTGCACAGGTAAAATAAAATGGCACCAAATTAGGCCGATTTCAGTCAACAACTAAATAGCGATTGGTATGTATAATCCCCTGTCTTGATCACTGGCAGATCCAGGATTGTGCTGAAGGGGTGGGAGGCAGGATTTTTTTTTTAACCAGGCGAGGTAAATATAAAGCAGAAGACGAGGGCAATTTTATTGTAATATTTAGAGCACAGATATGGAAAATCGGTTGTTTTTCCCACTTGTTATAATGTTTTTTTTTTTTTTTTTTTTGGGAGGGAGAATGGGGAAAGGGTATGTCGTCGAAGCTACGAGCTCCCAGCTTTTGCTTGGTATCTGGTTCTACAACATACCGATTCAATCATATTTTTGATGCGTTAAACTCTAAGGCCCTTAGCCAGCAATATCAAAGGGGGGGGGGGGTTCGTTTTCTGAAAAAGTGGACCTTTTACCATAAAATCCTCAAGTACATAGGTCAATTTTTACTCAGAGTGGACCTTTTCACAGCAAAAAGGGTGGTTCTTTCGAACCCCCCGAACCCCCCTGGCTACGGGCCTGGCCTATATACCCACCAGTGGAGTTTTCCATGTTTACAGTCGACATATTCCCCCAGCCACCTCTCAGTATGAGCACCAAACTGTCACGGTGGTCTTCTCTAAAATCTGGAGCCGTACAAACTCTGTCCCAAAGTGACTTGTGGACTGATTCACCTTGGTACCTGTTAATGATAAAAGTACCATGAAATTACTACTAAACCGCTGTATATATTAAACCAGCACTTGCCGGAGAACCTGGTCGTCACGTTAATCCTTTCAGCTGGTCCACAGAATTAAATTAATGTACTAATAAAAATTAAAACGCAATGGTCACGAGCTCAATATACTTGATAGCGTGCCTGCCATGTATATCTGGTGAGGGGATAGCAGTGCAGAACTTGTCATACTTAAGAGTACAATGGAAAATCGTTTATGTTTCCCACCCCAATCCCCTAATTGTAATATTGTATAGAATCGACTGATATCACCGTGCACCTGATGATAACAAAGAATGAATCTTCCACGTTTATGCCGAAAGTTTCTATTCAATTGTGGTCACATTCCAATCATTTTCTTTTGTGTGAATGGTTTGTGATTACACTGCATTGTCAGAGAAATTGGTCAACGGTTTTCCGTGGGTAATTGGCTCATCCCATGCCCAGCTCATGTGCGTGACTTTATTGGTACCAACAATCCTTTTCTTTTGTTATCAGTCCAATGGCATGTGTAGTAAACATACATGTACACTGCTGCAGCAGACCAAGCATATTTGTTGTATATATAAATTTTAACTTTATTAGAATCTTAAAAGATTTCAGGGGATCCCCCTACAGCTGGACAATTCCCCTACCCTCGGACCCCCTCCAACCAGGATGAAAATGTCTGCTACTATCATACATTAATTTGGGTGTGTCTCACTTAGTTTTCAAGTCGGAAAATTGGAATAGCAAACCCAATGTCCTGATTTTGTAAAGCCATGTTTCTTTTGTAGATTGAAAGTGCCTACTGTAGGTTTTCCTACTCCTCTCCCGTCTTAATCACATTTCATAAAACATTTGAGAACGAAGCAATGGTAGGCTACACAGACAGAAAAATACAAACCGGTATGTCGACAAATGTATAATTATTTCTGTTCAAACTCCGTTTTACTTGATCCCTGCTAAATATTACCAGTGGCGGATTTAGGGGGTGTTGGGGGGGGGGGGTCCTGACTCCCCCTTCAATTTCTGGAAAAAAAAAAACATACCAATGGCCCCCCTCTTGCAATTAGAATTTTTAGCTAGCTGAATTATCGTTCTAAACCGTACCAAATGGCACCGTTCGCCCTCTAAATACCAAAAAATTTCGGGGCCCTTCAGAAGGCCCCGAACCCTACGCCAAGGGGGGTAAGGTCGGCTTCGCATCCGCGGACCCCCTCTCCCCCTTCAATTAGTCTTGGATCTGCCCCTGTTTGACAGTTAATCGGTTAAGAAGATAAAAAAAGAAAAAAGAAAAAAGAAAACCACTGGGTTCAGTTTCAAAGAGAAATGCTTGAACTCCACGTAAAAAATTCGCAGTGCTGCGATGTACAGGTACATGTACACATATAATATGATAGGCACGTTCAAGAGTGAGGATACACAGGATCAATACAAACGATCCATCCAATTTTTTTCTATTCATTTCAATTCACAACGTTTCAGCAGCCAAAACTTGGGTTGATATTTAATTTTTCTGTGCAAATAAGTTTCACAGTATTTCAATTAAAATGAGTCTGTAAATGGACTGTTCATTTCACCACATGTACATATCTTACTACTAGTACTACTATCTCCTATTACGCCGTTGGGCGTCTAGGGCGTCAACAAAGGTCCTCCACTCCTCTCTGTCTCTCGCTAGGTGTTGAATTGTCCCCCAACTTTCACCCAGTTGTTTCAATTCTGCTTCAGCTGTCCTCCTCCATGTGGTCTTGGGTCTGCCCCTTTTTCTATGCCCCTCTGGTGTCCAGTACGTGGCTACTTTAGTGGTGGAATTTGGGTCTTTCCTCAGAACATGGCCAATCCATTTCCATCTTCTTGTCCTGATGATTTCACTTATACTTCTCTGGTTGGTTTGCTTGTACATATCTTAGTGGGAGTAAAAATAAGAGCTTTTATGAACTGCAGTTTGCGATTGAATTGTCGATGCATATATATCTTAACATGCAAGGAAATATAATATATTGTCTAAAACATTACACATACACACACACACACACACACACAGTGCTTATCAGCTACAAAACTAAATTCATTGAAAATTCTACCCCTTTAAGTATTTACAGACAATAGTTGCAGCCTTCTACAGATGCTTGCAAAATAAACGGAATCTTTAGTTTGAATTAGTCATGTAAGTCAACACATTAATACATGTCAGTAATCCCACTCATGTACATTGTATATCATTTAGATACCAGTCGCCTTAAGAATTTTTGCTTTAGCATTCCATTTACGTGTTCAGTTCGACAGCTTCCATTGCTACTGCGTCGTTGGTCACTTCAATTACATACAGTGTAATAGATACTATAAATGGGCGCAGCGCAGTATACGTAGTCAATATGATTTTGTGTATTATCCTCTATTTGGATCAAAGGGGGCAACAAAAACTTGCATTTTGATCAGTAAGGGAAGCTGCCCGAATTAGTCTATAATCAAGGTACACTGCCTCTTTCTTTTGATAATGCAATGGTGCAATCCCGCGCTCTGCGGTGCATGATGACAGTTTTGGACGCACACTCAAGATGAGAGGCGCACTGTCCTAACCTTTACTGGGGGCGCAGATAAATTATGTGCACTTTTCTCACAACAGAAAATTGTGCCATGAATTAACTACAGACATATCTGTGAATAAATAGATAGGGATGTTATATGACCAAGGCGATATACGCTTAATTCGGTTTTAGGAGTGTTTTTTCGGTGAAATGCGAGCGCTTTTGCTTGGTATTATGTCAAATAACATACTGCCACCCTTTCCAGACAAATGCCTGAATTCTTTTTAGCTGGCGCTTGGGGTGTTCTGGCATACATCGCTGGAATGACAGTGTGTTATCTCTTTCATGTCAAGCAAACAATCAATCTATGACCGTGACAGAGGGCAGCACTGTTCCATTTTACGGCGGTTGCCCAAGAGAGTGGTGTTGTTTGAAAACGCTATATAGTACCGGTAGGGTCTCATCAGCTCGAAGAAACAGGTGGCATATTTGGGAGCCTGCCAATAAGTAGTGCACCAGTCTTTCATGGAGAAACGATCAAATAAATGTGCAAACCAATTAATACCATGATTTTCATTTTATATGTAACACAGTTTTATGTCAGTTACGATTAAGCTGAATATTTGATTTTCAACATATGGATAAAAATGAAATATAACGATTAAATTGTGAACATTACAGAATGATTGCTAGAACATTGACATATAAAGGCGAAAGGAGATAAAAGCAGAGATGAGGATTAAGCACATCAATATTTTTATGTTGATACATGGTGTACACTTATTTATTGTTTGGCTTCTGTTTCTAAACTATCAGATGTAAGCTCGTTTTATGCGGTATCACATACAATACATATATTAACAGGGTATCATCTTTACATATGAAAAAAATTCTGTACAAATTGAATGGTTTTACAAAAAACTTTCGCTTGCAAACATTGTTGATTTTTTCTTCAATGTAGGCACTCTGTAATAAGACAGGATTTAAATGCAGATAATACATGTAAATACTACAGATTTTATTTCATTCATTCTTATTAACAAAACTAGAAGCATGAAAAGAAAGTCGAAAGATATAATGAAATTTAATCGGGCAAGATTGGATGATATTTTACACACATATATATTTAGTGAGCTACGAAACTTTTTCTGAACAATGGTATGTAAATAATAAAAATATATATATTGAAACAAAGCAATGGTAAACTTACCACATGGTGCCTAAAAGGACATAAGCCAGGATTTTGAAAACAGTTTAAGAGTATCTTGTTGAAATAACCTTACCTGAAGACACTTTAAAGTTTGAAAACATAAATTGACAGGTAGATAGCCTTAATCAATACCGCAAAAAGTAACCATATTCACCGTTCCCTAGTCAACCTTGGCAGCCAGCTGTTTTGAAAAAGCGTGGATTTTTGCTTTTTCCCAGAAATTGTAACGGAGTTAGGGCGAGTGTCAGAAAAGGAAGATTAAACGTTGGTAAATGGGGGAAAATAGCTGTTAACCCAGAAAATCTGTTAAACATGAGTTTTGGTGGGAAAATCCTGGCTTGTGTCATTTTTTAATATTGCACATGATGAGAAGGTGTATAACATTTCATTATTATGGCAAATTTTCATAGAAATGTAAGGAAAACGACATTGAAAGATGAAAAAACTTGAATTCATATCTATAGCAAATATAACTTTCCTCAAGACCCCCTTACGCGTTATTTTCTAATTTAAAGCCCCTCCCCCCTAATTTTTGCTTTAAATTTTCAGGCCCCCCCATTTTCTCCTCCATCCACTCCCTTCCGCCTTAAATAATGACCGGTCCCTAAATATGACCTTAATTTCTGGAAATAGTTCAACTCAATACTTTTTATCAACATTCATTCAAACCAATGGGTATAGCCCGGTTCTAAGCACGAAGACGATTAAATTCAAATATCAGATTTAGACCGTCATAACCGAACTCTTGAAAATCTCTGTTAACCTTTTATAACCAGTTAATTTTCTCTACCTAGTATGTGATCAGGGGGATAACGATATCAAAATGCATAAAGAATTAAACAATATAATGTCACTACATAGATATATACTACTCAAAAGGAGTTAGGGAATATATAGAAAAAAAAAAGCATATTAAAAAAGGAAGTTTACTATAAAAGTAAAAAAATGTCAACAATTGCTTTATTGAATCGTGCACTGTGACTGGACTTTACTGTCAAGTATCATTACGCAAACGGGTATAAAAAGGAAGGTGGGAGTCAAAGATTAAGTTCATTGCTCTTAAAGACTTTTCAGTATATGTGTATAATTATTGTTTTAATTATGAACGTCATCCTTATTTTGATTTCAGAAAAACGTATGTATGTTGGGGGGTGGGGGGTGGGGGTGCTATTCCTTGATCAATGACGACCTCATATGGACATTCTCAACAAATAATATTTCCTTGTTTGTTTTTTCTTGAATCAGAATAATGATGGCATTCATTACAATAATGATTATTTCAACCCCAGTGCAACGGTATCATTTTTTTTTCATTATGATGTGCGCAGACATAAAACTCAATTTTTTTTGGTCAAATAATATGTGAACTTAATACTACAATTGTATAGAAAAATTATCTATTCGTATCAGCTAATGAGATCAAAATTACCAAGAGACGTGCATTAAACGCCCTTTAACAAAATTCTTTAGTGAAATAAATGAAATGTTTGGCTAAAATCCATTTAGGTTATACGGCATTTCCGGCCTTCCTTGTTTAGCAAGTTTGAATCAAGAAGATTTGCATGAGTTTATTTTTCAATTTTGGATCATTTGAAAATTTTGAAATAAATTTTGGAAATAAATTTGTTCATTTACTTTTAATTTGATGTGTTATTTTTCATATCAGAGTAAAATTTTACTGCCTGGGGCCAGTTTTACATGCCCTCCCCTCTGCTGCATTTTAGTGCTTATTTTGGCTGACTGGCGGCAGCACCTTACGGGTCATCTCATGTCACCGGCAAGCTATGCCATTAATGTACCCTGATTTTTTAATATTGTTTAGGCCTTGAGTAGACGTATTTAAACCTGAAGTGTTGTGTTTGTTGATGCATGGGGAATATTTTTAAGAGAATTAAACGTTACAATGGAAGTGAATGGGATTTTTAATAGTGGTTTATAACCTTTAGTACCTGGCAAGCTATTTGTCACACCTAGCACATTTCCATTAATTCTGCGGTAGACAGCACAATCATGTTGAGACGGGACATGCGCCAGATTATTATCGCGTACGAAAAGTTGTTTACAGTATACAGAATATTTTAATGTGATCACTACTAGTAGATGACAAATGAAATTTCATTCGTTTTATAAGATTAAATACAATGTTGTATGTGAAATAATCATGCAATGCATAATATGTGTTGAAACTTTATACGCATATGTAAAAATATTGACCGCTTGAAATAACTGGTTATCTTATAACTCCATGGCAGTACTGAGGGGCTTTATGATAACTGGCTATTAAATGGTACAACAGTACATGGAAGTGGGCCTACTGACAAGAACACCCTCCAATCACATAATCCCAGCAGCTGAGTTTCAAACCTAAGGCGAATGGACATGTTTAATTTCTAAAAAAGAAAAAAAGATTTATCCTTTTTCCATTCATATCAATACTTCTGGGGATCACACATCTTTCGACGTAGTCACTGTCCTACACCTCTCCCTACGCCCTACACTATCAATGTTATGATTGACGTTTGTTTATATAAACTGTCAATCAAGCTGCCCGCATTTATGACAATTATGGCAAAACTCCCATGCACCCGAGTTTCTGTTAGGAGACCAGTGATCACTGCCAAAAACCGTCCACGTCAAGTCAGACGGTATACTGGAATTCTGGAATGGTCACCAGCCAATAGGCCTACTGGGCATTGACACTGTTCTCAGATGAAAGCATCTGAAACGTTGCCAGATTTTATGGACGTGCAAGGGTTTGGAAAACAGCTGGTAAGAAGTATATCCCCAATTTTCTGCCTCTGGTCGACAGAACGCACCCCACATAAATCGTAGCAACAGAGGGACAGCACTGCAAACAAAAATTACCTCATGCTATCTTTGCACCGTATGTGGAACGCCATTACTGCGCAAACGTTACAGAACTATTTGACTCCACGCCCAGACGCGTCCTCAATCCAGAAAATAATGTACAAAATACTGAAAAGTGGCTTTGATTTTTTTTACTATGATGAGTTTATTTATTGCTTGTACAATCAGTAAATTTTTGTGAAAAAAATCCATTTAGAAGTTGAATAAAGAACATTGGTTCATGATGATTTTCTGCATCACTTAACGCCTGGCGTAAAGTGTGACATTTTTTCTTTTTTGCTAGGAGAATATATATTGTTGTTTTTGTAAAGAACATGTACATGTATATTGCAAATTATATTTATATAAGTACTGGTAACTGTACACTGTGAAATAATGATGTAAAATGATCAATGTACATTAAGTTCAATGAATAAAAACGCTGCATGATATATCCACAGATGTATAGGGTCTTCTACACTGCTACATCCTGCGGTATTTAATGTTCATTCTACACAATTGTTAAGATGAAGGCAATTCTTTTGAGCTTCTGATAACATGAATGGTATGAAGACACATAATTTTAATTAAAAATGTACATGTATAAAACTTATAGTCATATTACTGATTCTGACGTTTCATGCTGTAAAACATGGCTTGTTGTAATTCCACCTGTTCTATGACCGACACCAATGCCGTTTGATAGGGGCAACGTGCTAGGTGTACCTGATAGGGGCAACGTGCTAGGTGTACCTGCCAGAACGTTAATAGCAGGCACCGCTGTCGTATCTCTGGCACCCCATCTCTGCTGCTCGGCCAACTTGATTAATTCGTAACATAGAAGATATTCTTTCTGGAAAAATAAAACAGATTTATTTTATTGTAGGGCAAATCAGTTTCAATTTGCGTAACTCTCTTTATGTCATATGTAGACAACATTAAAATGCTAAATAAGAGCAAATCTCCGCATGCATTGACTGAAGCCTGTATTTTTGTTGTGTCTATTTTATCTAATATATATTTATCAAGCATATATTTTATATATTTATCAAATATATATATATTTACTGGGTCATTTGAGAACATTTTTGTCATTCCGCCAAGTATTGTACTATAGGGGGCAAGGTGGTGGGGCCGAAGGTCCGACATCCATTTTGCGAATTAAAATGTACATTAATGTGCTCAGTTCTGCAATCTTCCCCCCCCCCTCCAAATTGAAGAACAAGGGTAAGGGAAGAGGGGAAGAGTGAAGAAGGTGAAAATAATTGCTAAACCTTTCTGCAGATGAAATATATATGTGCTGGTGTGTGTGTGTGTGTGTGTGTGTTTGTTTAAGTACGTACAGTGTATGTTTGTATAACAACTGTCTCTAACTGTATGTTTCAATTAAATAATAAAAAACAAGTCCTACTTCATCTTTCACTAGCTCTGGACGGTTTGCTTTTACCAATTTGACCGTAGAAAATATGTCCACTTTGTCTTCCTCCGCCAACTGATTCAGTGCAATGTTGACAGTGCAGAAGACACCACAGCGCTCCACACCGTCTCTGAAAGATATATGATAATTAAGATTACTGGGTGCGATGGGATTTATTCAGTTTTCTTTTTTCATCTCTTTTTAAACAAACAATAAGGGATAAGATTCCTGCAGCAAAGGTTCTGAGGTTGACGTATGCTATCTTTTAATTGACCCCTTCATTTATTATAATGAACTATGAGTTACCATAAACATGTGTTAAGATACTTCATATTTATATTTACACTTCATGGGACAAGCATTACTGTATATTTACAGAGCTGAGTTGAGAGTATATACTTACTTAGACATAATACAAACAGGTGCATGAGTGAAACCTTGATCAATCTCTAGCTTGTGCAGCCATTCCTCTACGAGATTATTTAGCATCAAAATCGATCCCATCTCTTCCTTTGCCTTACGCGGCCAATAGTTCAGCTGGAACATGCGTACTGTATGTACGTGTCGAGTGGCGGACTCGACTGCAAATATTTTTTTCAAAAGTGCTCTAGTTGCTTGCATATCATACTGGAAATATAGCAATTGTTTGGATAAATAAAGCGCATGAAAGATTGTGGGAAAATACTAACATTTGAAAATGTTTTTGTCAGCATGCCGAGTATTTTAGGTAAGAGTAGGGCCTACATACATGCACAGTTACACTGGAACGTCACATGGATGGGTAGCGTCACTCTGACAAACCGGCTCAGTTAGCACAGGGTCACTATTATCGAAATTTTTCGAAAAATGTATAAACTTAGCACATCATTTGAATGACATCTCACCTTTCCCGATTGTGCCCATTTGTGTGAGCTGCGGATCACGTTCTGAAAGGGAATTTATTATAATTGTGATTAATCGAACCTCTAAGTGGTATATGAACATTACTTAAGAAAATAAACTGACTTATCACAGCAATTTTCTTTATTTCCTTCTGCTATGATTCTCACATCATTTTTAATTAAAGAGAAAAATAACATCACACACACACACACACACACACACACACAGAGAGAGAGAGAGAGAGAGAGAGAGAGAGAGAGAGAGGAATAAAAAACAAAATGTCGTTATACGTGTACCTTTCTTATATTGAATGTTTTCGTCGTGATGTTTGGGTACCGCCTGGTCTCAGTTAGTGTCACTTGGAGTCCATCGTGCACTTCAGTTTCCGGGAAACCAGGCCAGAAATGTGGGTATCTCTACAATAACAATCAGTGGCATTCTTTCATGGTCTTTCACCGTCTTCAAGCATGATGATGATGATACTCAGTTTTAAGCCATATTCATACTTTGAAATATGTGTGGTGTGGGTGAGTTGCTTCTTTCAACCATGCCCTTTTCTAGATGGCCACGAAACTGAGTAGGCAGTCATTTATCAATACCATATACCTCAACAGATGGTTTTATTTGCAGTTACTATGGAAACCCTGTTTCATACCGGACTTACCCAACGGTCAAACCTGGAGTCCATGTGGTCCAATATCACAAGCGTTGGAATTTGACAGTCGTACAGAAGTCGCCACAGATCCACAACAGTGTTCTGCATGGGCCACTCGGTCACTATGAACTGCTGTTCGCTGTAGAAGCTCTGTAAAATGATTATGAATGAAGATGACCTTTGGTGATTTGTAGCATAAAGGATACGTGTAATTAAAGTATTAAAGTATTGGGCTCTGAAGATGAGACTGTCAGCTGCCACATATTTAATCTACAATAGGAGCTAACATAATATCTCACTACATTTCAATGGATTCTTATTCAGGAACAGGGGGAGCGTCGTGTCCAAACGTGATATACTGTGTGTTTTTAAACAGCATATATAATTATTTATTATAAATCATAATCGACGTCTGATTGAATCTCTTTGTTGAGGCATAAACTACCATGTAGCTCTTTGCAAATGCTGTGTTCCACATTATAAAATTCGCTATGGTGACTGATTCAAAGAATTTGTATGGGCGTGAGCGTGACAGGTAAAAACCCCTTTACACTTGACGGCGTCCTTTCTGCATCCTTTGTGCGGCCATGAAACTGGCCAGATCGCCGCTGGAAGCTCAAAGAACACACGGTGATCGGTAAGGTCGCATACAGAACGTTCAAGCATCGCAAAAGAAGCCATGCATGTTCAAAACAATCGCAGAGAGACCGCGATGGAGGTTGGGACGCTGCAAGGTCGATCAAGGGACGCAGAGAGGACGCACTGTGGTGGTAGAAAGGAGGCACAAGCATCGCTTTGGTTGCAGAATGAATGCTCAATGATCGGCCAGTTGTCGGCACGTCAAGTATTTTTTTTGACTCTCAAACAGTGCCGTACTAGGGTATTTTTCACCAGAGACAGGAAATCTTAAGTTAACGGCTACTAGTTGTCTCATACCAGCTTTCAATTGTTTTTCACCCTAAATTCTTGAACTGATAGATTTTTGGAGCTCATTACAGAACGAATATTTTGCTTCTTTAAGATGCAGTTCTTATCGCAGTTTTTGCAGAATGCGCCTTTTCAAAAAAGATTAAAAAAATGTACGTTGCGTCAGCCGGCCTTTTCTGTCTTCGGCGCCTGTCCAACCTTTGTATAAGGACAACAATGATCATCTGGCTTATTATCAGTACATGCAGACCTTGCATTACTGTAGTTTGAAAAAGAAGTTTATTCCTAATTATACGTTTCACGTTCTGGAGATGTGCTTAATTGGGTGACCGGGGTATAACTGATGAAAAATATTTAAGAGTCAGAATATATCGAAGGAAGCCCAAACAACGACCATCGGTCTAACAGGTGGCAGAAAGATCGTAGAATGGTCGCCACTGATTGCCGATGAAGGTACAGAGAACGCAACGAGGATGCCCAATAGTCGCTCAAACATCGCAATGGACGCCGTGGGTTGCCCGGGGGGACGCACAGTGGAGGCAGGTACGTCGCTCAAAGGACGCACAGGTCTCTCGTAGTTTTAGACTGGGTTCCCACAGATTTAGATCGATCTATCTGGATCGACCTAGCTCCCTGGGGGTTCACGCTAAATGAGCTTCCGGGAGCTGAGCGTGCACAAAAGTTAATTACCCCCTTACAGCTTTTAGCATGCGGGACAGACATTTAATCCGGTTAAGCTGACAGCAAACTAGAGACTCCCCAGGGGGATAGATTGATCTAAATATCCGTGGATATGGTCTCTTAGGTGATCGCTAAAGTCGCATACAGAACGTTCAAGCATCGCCGTGGACGCCGCAACGTTTTGAGTAAGTTCAAAACAATCGCAGAGAGAACGCGATAGAGATGGACGCTGCAAGGTCGCTCAAGGGACGCAGAGAGAATGCACAAGCATCGCCGTGGTCGCAAAAAGGAGGCAAAAGCATTGCTTTGGTTGCAGAATAAATGCTCAACGATCGGGCAGTTGTCGGCACGTAAAGTGTAATTTTTTTTACCCTCAAACGGGACCGCGCTAGGGTATTTTTCACCAGAGACAGGGAATCAAATGATAACAGCTACTAGTGGTCTCATACCAGCCTCCAGTTCGTATTTTTTCCTTACATTCTTGAACCGATCCAGTTTTGGAGGAAATTATAGAACAAACATTTTGCTTTTTTCAAGATGCAGATCTTGTCGCAGTTTTTGGAGATTGCATCTTTTGAAAACAGCCTCAAAAGTTCTATATGGTGTCAGTCAGTCTTTCTCGTCTTCAGCGCCTGTCTATCTGTCTTATAAGGACAACAATGGCTTATCATCAGTCCATGCACAACTTGCATTAGTAAAGATTGAAAAATAATTATTTCTTAATTATGTTTCGTTTCCGGAAGATGTTTTTTAATTGGGTGAGCGGGTTAGAACTGATGAAAAAAATATAAAAGAGTCAGAACATATCGAAGGACTCCCAAACAACGCTCATCGGTCTAGCAGGAAGCAGAAAAATCGTAGAGTGGTCGCCACTGATCGCCGATAAAGGTACAGAGAACGCAACATCGCAATGGACGCCGCGGGCTGCACAGGGGACGCACAGGGGAGGCAGACCGGTCGCTCAGCGGACGCACAGGTCGCTCAGAGGACGCACAGGTCGCTCGCAGTTTTACAGGTAAAATTTAAATTCGGTCGTTCAAAGGACGCACAAGGAACGCATATGCCTTTACACTGAGACACGATTTAATTGCTTTGGCGACCGTTGAGCGTAATGATCACATTTTGATCGCTGAAGGATGAAGAAAGGACCAGTGTAAAGGGACCTTAAACAAGCAATGCAGATAAACTGCCAACGATATCTGTTATTATTACTCCCCTCCTTATAACATACTCACGTTAATGTAAACTGCATTGATGTAATCACTATGACTACTAACTGAATCGTCTTTTAAATAGGGTCGGCATCTGTCAGCTGAAATTGAAAGTTTAGCTTGCATGCAAAGATATCTCGAGAGAAAGTCACTAGTTTAAAGCTGAATACTCACATTTTTTCTGGCAGTATATTCTAAAGCATATAAGGCCATTCAAAATACTTCATTAAAACGGATATCTTTGATACCCCTCTCCTTATAATATAATATAATATAATATAATATAATATAATATAATATAATATAATATAATATAATACCTATTGTCAACCCCACCCTTCCCATTGATTTACACCATGTGTCAAAATTTTTTTCCCAGACCAATATTCTTATTTCATTCAAAATTAACAATACTGGTTGGTATCTCGTTCTTAATTGAAATGAAACTATTCCTAGGCCCCACAGACAAGAAAGTAAAAACAGTGAATACACTTTATTGCAAATAATTTTCTCACGCGGTTACAAACTTTGTGAGAAATACATGTAGATAAACGAGTGGAAACAAAAATATGGATTGATAACATGCCAAGAAAATAAAAAAGAATCCAATGAACAAATACGTTAGTAAACAACATGCTTCAAACGAGTATGCCTACATAGTTTAAATATAGATAAACAGTATATACCAGTATAGATCACCAAGTAGATAAACTTACGAGGCAGCAGTACTGAATTCCTGTTTTTGTGCAAGTTTTCACTTCTGAATCCGGCCGCACACTCGCCACTGGTCAGGACGGGGGTCAGGGAGGTCAGCAGCTAAGACACAATTGTATTAAACAGAAATTGTTATATTTTGAGTCCACTGACTCTTTTTATTCCTCTCTTGAAGTATAACACATCACACATCTTCTGGCTTATATTTAGTATATTTAGACCTGTAAAGTAGTTTTTGAATGTGATTTGAATACGTTTAAGTGAGGTAGGACTTTTTAACAGGACTTTTTAGTATTTATACATTTTCTTCAACCGGTACCTTAAATTCCTTCGAAAATCCTGTCTCGCTCCAGCCTGGAGACTTCCATGCTAAAAACTTTGTCACTCCAACAAGATCTTTTCGTTGAACAGTAGTGTCGTCACATACAGCATGGGTGGCAACTGTGGCATAAACAAATTGGTAGTTTTGCTAAAAAAGGAAACCATTTGTTATCAAAGAAAGGATGCTTCTAAGTTATAGGCAATATCAAATAACCATCGGTGGCATACAGAACATTTGTATTGAATTGAAAGGAATGATTTTTTGATAAATTAAAATTCAAGTTTTTATCCTCCAACCAGCAGTCAACGTAGTCTTTCCTGTACCTTTCAACAATATTTGACAGTTAAAGTAAAGAATCACTTAAAAACTTACAACTGTTTCAAGCATTCTTGGGTTTTTCTTCCGAAGATAGGCAACGGCGTTAAAGATCTGGACGCTCTTGGTGGCGTCCATTCGCTCCAAGATTGCGTCCACAGCGATGTAGGCGCCAACCTTGTCAATCGAGTTGAACCTGAAAGTTCATCACAGATTCAAAAATCAACATATGGGATAATATTCAGATAAACTATATAATTTTAGATATTTTTACAGTTTCGAGATGTAATAGCACTGTTATAGAAATACAAAATAAATCCTACTTTTCTGTGATGATGATTTTATGATAATGTTACGTTATTCAATATATATGACAAAATATTGTAAACTGACTACTTAGAAGAGTAATATTCCAGCTACAAGTGGGATTATGTTAACTTTCAAAAAGAACATACTGCAAAAATGTATTACAGGAATTTAGTGTTAGAAGGTGCGTACTGCAATACTCAAGGGAGTTCGATACGTCATAGGCATACATTAACAAAATAGCTTTTTCCAGTTTCTTTTATGCAAAATACTTGTTTTGATATTAGTGCAATGAAAACAAATACTTTAGAGCACCACCACACGCTCTTCTGCACACAGGGTGGCAAAGTGCTTATCGTCAAAATGAATTCTTCTAGAATAGCGATTTTCTCCTTCTCACGAATCATTACTTGCTCCCTCCCTGCATTTGAATTTTTATCCCATTTTTAATTAAATAGTTTAGTTTTAAATAATTGGCCAGTCGTTTAGAAAGACATCTGTCTTCCATGACAATGTTTATTCTGCTTTATCTAACCAGATAAGGGGGCACCCTAACGTACCTAACCCACTTAAAGATATTGCCTAATAAGGAAATGTTGAATATTTGATTGACAAAACTGAATGGAAGATTAACAGATCGGGTTAAAGCAGTAGTAATAGCGTGACCAGTGCACAGAAAACCAAGCACAGTATAATTTTCTACGTTTGTAAGAGAATAAAGAAGACCAGCAAATAAACGTTGGAGGATTGTTTTTACTATAATGGCAGTATGTATACAGTATGAAGAAGTGCCAAGACAGGAAAGAGGCGTGCCACCCAAGGCGACAGGTAACAGGTGGACATACGCTTCGTGCACCAACAGCGGGGTGACTTGTCCTTTTGGGGATTCGTGTGACATTGACAGGTTAACTTCTCTCCGGATGTTTAACAAGAGAATCGGGTCGGGGCATCTGTGGCGCTCCCAGCTCTTCGCCTGATAATGTTGTATGCGTCTCTCCTGGTCGCAGTCATTCTGAATAGATATTGCTTCGTTATAGGTAAAATTCATAACCATTATATCATGCAAAACCACTTACAAATAATTTACGGACTGAGCCCACGTAGAGACATAATGAACTACAGTCAAATAAAGGATAACTGAAATTACTGTCAAGTACCTTTCTTACGCTGATGGTTCGCTTTATCCAGTCTGCGCGTGTCACAGTGTTCTGAATCTCCACGTGATAACCCCCCGCAGTGGCCACGTGCCAGTATTCACAACATAAAATCTGAATCGGTAAAAGGTGAAAAACTAGTATGCCATACAGCACACCGAATAAAATATTCCAGAACGAGTTCTTTAACGGACATATCTAAAATTTCAGTTATTTTTGTGACTGTTTTTTTTTCGTCTATCCTGTCAAAACACTGTTCAATGTCGGCAGCAAAACTTCATCGACTTGATCTTTAGGCAACGCTTTGAGAGTAATCTTGTGGTGTTAGTTAAATGGGTTAAATCTTTGCATTAATACAAAATTTCCCCATTCAATATTTAATAGCGTTTGGACACTAACATAGCTTTTGAGGAAATTAATCATCTATTATAGACTAAGTTACACTCAAAGTGAGGTCTGCACTTGCTTATACATCATTTCATGTGTACAACGTACCCCGCAGTAATCAAAGGAGGGGGTAAGTGTAAGGATGCACTGACAGCCGTGGGTCCATACCAAATCCCAGAAAGATTCCAAAGTTTCTCTCGTAGGAGCTGGAAAAGATGACCACCATCTCCTTTATAAAGCAAAAAAGGAATTTGCTAGGGGGTAATATAAAGTAAGTGTCAACATAAAACAACTATTGTGAGTCACAACCATTTAAAGGGATAACAACTGTTCATTTTGGCCCAAAAAATTAATTTTCCTGGGGTAAACAACAATTTTCTCATACTTACCAATGGTTAATGAATCCATTTCTACATTCAAACTTTTGTTTTTTTCCTTTTTTTTTGTAATAATATCTTAAGAGATTACGTATAGCCATCTATGAAGGTCACGTGGTCCGTTGACAAGCTCAGATTTCAGAATAACAGCTATAACCGCTGTTTTTGTGGTAAAACAGAATATTATATTTCTATGAGTTGTTTACGATATATTAATTGTAAAATATAGATCTCATATGAAGAGTTGTTATCACTTTAATAATATAGATATGTCATATTGAAAATACTATAATGTCATCACTTATAAAAAAATCTATCAAAGTTTGAGAGCACGTACATAGGCTCGGCACTACAGGGAGAGGTGATAAATGTAATAAAGGGGGCAGAACACGAGATAGCCGTGTGGGGTGCGAAAAAATGAATGCAAAAGAATGCAACATTACGGAAAGGACAAAGATAGAAAATTAATGAAATAAAATGAAAATGACTGTTAATTTCCGGCCTATGGAAAATATTTTAAAATTTGAATTGGTCATTAAATGATTTGTAACTACTTAAAGTTACATAGTAACTTACCAGTGTGAACAAGGTAAGCATTCCGGTTTTTGTATCCCTGAAACAACAATTATGTTCAATAATTAAAAAATAACCAACCAGCTCGTGACAGGAAACTTTTTTAAGCAAATGTATTTGTACAAAATTCCTTTATAAGGGTAAATAAACGACAGTGCCACTTAGGTTGGAGCTGTGGCATCAAAAATGGATCCTCACCTCTGGAGAAGAACGTGGGCCTATGAGCGTATGTTACCTACCTAGCGTATGTTACCTAATTTACACAATTCACCTAATAATATAATTATAATAATTTTACAGGTGTATGGCGTAAACAGCCTATGACTTGACCTACATCGACGTAAAAAGGATTCAGCTTCGTGTCCTTGAGAAAGGCTGCCATCTTGTCTTGGATCACCAACTGGCATGCTAGATCTGAGAAAGTTAAATGATTACTAGATATACAAATACAATCAATGAAACTAATGGTATTACAAAAACAATTTCTCTAGTATGGCTGTTCATTTTAAACGCATGTGTTTAGGTATATTTCGTTTTGATTTAGTAAATCAAACTGAGGTCCAAATTCATGTATATATACATGTATATATATATATATACAGCATTGGTCAAAAAGGTTGTCCCACCCCCATTTCCATGTACTTTTATTTANAAGGCCTTGATAGCAGCTTAATATGGATTACCTTTTACCACTCAGACGATGCACTTGAAGGATTATCATTTCAAAACTTGCGACATCAGTATATAATTACAAAGATAATTACACTTCTAATACATACCGGAAGTTCGCGAACTATCTTTGGTATGAATCTTGCCATCACGTCTTAACATTTCCCTCTCCAAAGCTATTTTAGTTAAGGCCTGAAATCCATTCTCTCTGATTAGAAATATAACCAAGGGTGTATGGTATAATATCTACTTAATTATACTTTTCTTTCTTGTTGTCATTATGCTTATTTGATTATAATTTGAGGACATTAAAATTACTGTCTTCTTAAAGTGACAAAATATCCATGCGGCCAGGGGTAAGCCTCACAATGAGAACATAATATCTTGTTATAATTATGACAAAAAAGGCTTTTAAAGCGTGACTGTATGCATGACTAAGTGGGCACCTGCATAATTTTCTTTACACACCATCACCAGGTACAGTATACAGTGCTGTTTCTCACATGTGGATATTTGGTTTTGCGTTCTGGCCGACATATTAAAAAATAGTCCCATTTGGTATATGATGTTGGCGTTGGAACGTGGGGGTGGGTGGTGTGGTGCAGGGGGTGGGTGGGGTAGGAGCTCTTATTATAGTTCAACAGGTTCGTTCTGGCTATGAAACCCTTAATATGGATCCTGTTGAATTTTATTATCAGGACGCCTGAAAATATAATTATCACACAACAAACCTGATGCTCCTTTTCAATCAAGCCTTTATCTTGACTTATTTGCAGGAATTCAGATATTGTTCGCCCTCGTTGATTTTTAAAAACCATGACCCGGACTGAGGTTTCCAGATTTCCTGAAAAAAAGTCATTCTCGAGATAAGCACACTCTATTAACTAAAATGAAATAGTAAAGGAATTAACTATTCAGTTCTTAATTGTGTTGTTTTATTACATTGTTTTACGTAATACTGTGCACTTCATAATAAAACGATGCAACAGATATAACTCACTTTTATCTTTCTTAAGTTTTTCCTCTCTTCTTTTCTTTTTCGCCCTGGGCATTTTGCGGACCTTGCTAAATGTATCAGGTAACAATAGTTAAACACATTCTTTATGCCTTACAAACAACAATCTGACAGCAATAAATAGACATTATTTATTCTAAATATTCATTTGAAATTAACTTTACACAGTGTCAGTTTATAAAGGCAAAAATGTCTCGGATACATATGTATCCACTCTGTATTAACCCATACCTTATTTATCCAGTTTATTAAAACTGATAATAAAATTAAAAAGCAGGCACGTTCTTTTAGGCATTAAGTCAACTTAAATAGCTTTGTATATCTTACTCTGTACTCGCCCTTTAAAGATGCCCGGTACACGTGTAAAGCAACTTATTCATTTCTTATCTAATTTTCAGTAAGGCATTTGTGGTACGTGAAGTAAAGAAAATGACTATGATGAGAGAGATGAGTAATTTAATACATATTATTTTCTTTTATTTTTTGCCTTATTATCTGTCATGCGTATTACTGTTTACCATACTTCTTAGAGGGGGGCAAAACTATTAAAGTGATAATCACATTGTTTACGGTGCTCACCTTATGTACGCTACTGTTGCTGCTATGAAACACACCCCTGTCATGGCGCTACAGACTACCAACCACAGCTTTTCTTCGCTAAGAATCACTCCACTGATTGGCTCGAAATCGGACGCTACGTTTGATTTTTGAGAAAATATAAAAAATGAATACTATTAGGTGATAAGTTCAAGCTAAGATATGTTGGGTATTAGGTTCAAGGTATACTGTCTGCATTTGTAAAAGTCTTTCTTTACCTAAACATCCTGTAAAGCTCATTATCTCTCCCAATCCAGACCCTAAAATACCTCAAACTAAGTACTTGATGCCAATTATCTCAAATGTACAGAAAGATATGACGGTCGAATTGTTTTGAGAAATATTTAGAACTAATTTATTTGATATAAAATGACAGAAAACATCGAATCCAAATGCAGAGACGGGTCAATTTTGGTCACGTTTTCGATTTCTTTGCCTTTAATGTCCAATATTACCTTCAACTTCTATATTCAGTCAACACACTGCAGGTATGTACGCGAATGAAGTAAATCAATAAGAAGAGTCGTTATTTTTTAAATTTAATTATGCGCACTTTATAATTTTAGACATGTATGTCTACAAAATACCTAAACAAGATGGAAGGTGGTGCAGATACATCTGCATTGTGGTAAAGTGTACGATCTAAAACGACAAAGTTTCATGAATTATAAAATCCCTATGTTGCATTTACTTTGAAATTTTAATTATTCAAATAATAATAACTGATATTAAATCACACAGCACGTGTCACGTTGATGGACGCTACACTATTGTTATGTCTTACCTGTGCTGTTCTCCATAGTCACAGTGGATAATGAGGTTCTCAAAATACGCCTTTTAATCAGATAATACCCGATAAGTTGAGAACTTTTTCGCTGTCTTCTAGAAAAGAAAATATTATTTTATTGTTTTAGGGAAGTCCATTAAAATGGCGAAAAGTTTAAAAATCGTTTTCTTTCAACTTGCGTCATACCATGCTTCACTTTATGCCCTTCCTTTTTCGCTATTTTCACAGACACACTAAATAACAATGCCAATACAGTAGAAGAGGCCACCTGCAATTTATACCTTAAGGCAGTTATTGCAACATATAAAACATTTTATTCCATGTTGTACACATCTTTTTTGAAAATGCATCGTACGCACGATCGGTCGTGCGAGAGATTTCGCGTCCCTGATCTTGCGAAAGGTGTTACAGCTTCTTGAACAGAGTACACCAATTTTGGGAAGGCCCGGTACGAATTATAGTATTATACCATTTTCATTTTCGGAAAATATTATTACTGAAGACCATAGTTACCTTTAGATTTTGATTCCCTTAATCTTATAACTCCTACATGTATATATATCATACATGTACCAGTATAGATAAATTTCTATATAACACCAACTATGTTTTACCTTTCTAAACCATCCTTTTCGTCTCTCTTTTAACGTGCTTGTCTTAAATGTCCACCACTGTTAATTTTGCTCGTTATTTTTCTTGAGGACATTAGACAATCCTTCCCCAAACTGCCCCCGGCCCCTCCTCCCCGGGGTGACAGACGGTGTTGGTTCGACAATTAAGCTATCCCCATTCTTTAATGTTATGGTATTGGTAACTCTGGTCGTGAACAAAAAGATGTAAATTGCATTCCATTTTTGTAATATCCTACACTGCACCTGTGGTGTTTACACAGAAAAGTGGAAAAGCGAATTACCTGGCTCAAAACACGCCTTTTAACCGGATGACATCTTAATTTTAAATGTTTATCTCAGCCCTGTTATCTGACTCATCATGCACCCGGGTATTCATTGCACAAGGATATGCAGAGCAGTATTTCACCGACCATGGCTTTTCTCATGCAAATTGTGAAGAACTGTCTCAGTCATAGTGTACATATCTGATCTCTTGTGCATATGAAAAATATCTTCACTACCACCTTAAATGTAGAGAACAACCATTTTAATAGTGCTGTGTTTGGAAAATTGTTATTTAGTAGCCCGATATTTAGATAATGTACAATCGGTAGTAATATTGCTTGTTGTGTCGATCGCTATAATAAGTACACTATCTTTTAACCCCAAACTGATGTTGAAGTCTTGGTAAATCTCACGCAACCCTACTATTTGGTTGTTACTTTGACTTTGTGCCACTATATAGCTGGGATACATTTTAAGGGGAAAAGTTTGCAGAGCTGTGTATAAAGACATACACGACTGATCATGCGTTTCGTAAATGTAAAACATGGGAGGCAAAGAATATTGATGCGGATTGTTGAGAGAGTTGGTAAACGAATACACAAATACAATACGCATAAAATTGTGCAGCAAGGCCGATATAAAGAAAATGAAGATTATCTAAAAAAAAAGCACGCCAAAGGCAAACCCCGAAACCCAGTGTCCTAGCTGAGACTGAGGATGCATTCCCATAGATTTTAGATCGATCTATGCCCATGGGGAGTCTCACTAGATTACTGTCAGATAATCCGTCTTAAATGTCCGTCCCCCCTACTACAAGCTGTAAGGGGGTAATTAACTTCTGTGCCCGCTCGGCTGACAGCTATTTAGCGTGAACCCCCAGGGAGTTAGGTCGATCTAGTTGAATCGATCTAATCTCTGGGAATGGGGTCCGAATCTCTCTCTCTCTCTCTCTCTCTCTGTGTGTGTGTGTGTGTGTGGGGGGGTGGGGGGTGGGGGGGGGGGGGTTATGCATTAGAAACACCTGAATAAATTTGTCGGGTAAAAATGAACTGTCTTTGCAGTTTACATAGTTAAATGTGTTTTTCGATACTGCTGAGGCCAGTTGTTGTAGAGACAGATGAGGGGAAGAAAGAGACGGAGGTGGAACGCACAAAACAAAGCAAATGCTGTTGGTGTATCATTTTCATAGGAAAGGTAGACAGGCATTCAGAAAGCGCAGGCCTCTGCAAAGGCAAAAATCTTACAATTAATAAGTCAATTCAATCAATGGATCATCACCAAACTCTAATAGATTTTAAGTTATCCCTTTTTTGACATCTGAAAATTTTTTTGTCAAATTCCGTCCAAAACTTCCCGAGTTGGGATTTTAAATAGCAGTGCGACAAAGACAAAAACGTGACTTCTTGGCGGAGGTAATGATAATTAGCACGCCAATAATCGCCAGTGAGACTGCAGGCGTATTCCAAAAGTTACTAAATGAGAGGGCCTTTTTTAAACCCAGGAATAAAGTTCGAAATCAAGGGGAAAAAGGAAATATGTTAATTCTGATTGAATTTTTAAACAATATATAGCCCTAACACGATTGATAGGACGTAGAAATAGTAAAATTTCTACTTTTAGAAGACCACACTATTACTGATTAGATGCGCATGGTGTCGGTGGGCAGGTGGATCTGTGAATGTGTGGTTAGCAGGCGGTTGTGTAGTGGATGTGTAGTAAACAGGTATGTGGTAAACAGGTGGGTGTGTGGTAAGCGGGTGGGTGTGTAGTAAACGGGTGAGTGGTAAGCGGGTGTGTGGTAAGCGAGTGGGTGTGTAGTAAACGGGTGGGTGTTAAGCGGGCGGGTGTGTTTTAAGCGGGTGTATGGTAAGCGGGTGAGTGAGTGGTAAGCGGGTGGGTGTGTAGTAAGCGGGTGGGTGTGTGGTAAGCGGGTGTGTGATAAGCGGGTAGGTGTTCAGCGGGCGGGTGTGTTTTAAGCGGGTGTGTGGTAAGCGGGTGGGTGCGTAGTAAGCGGGTGAGTGGTAAGCTGGTGGGTGTGTGGTAAGC